TATATATATATATATATATATATATATATGTGTGTGTGTGTGTGTGTGTGTGTGTGTGTGTGTGTGTGTGTGTGTGTGTGTGTGAGTAAGAAGTATGGGTGAAAATTGTTGACCTGTCATCAGATATAAATACATACTCAATATGCTTACAATTGTTTTAAATATAAAATGTGTGTAAATTAGTGTATCGAATATACAACAGCATAAATAGGCAAGTATAAATTATATAAGTCATTATTATATTCATATGTGATTTGGTTATGAATGGTGCACATATGCATATGCCTAGATGCATCTCATTATTGGCTAAATATGCTGGTTGGTTGGCTGGCTGGCTGGTTGCTTGTGTGTGGTTGGTTGTTTTTGGAGTGGCGTGTTTTCAATTGTTTGTTTTGCAGTGAGAGTTTCTTTTTTTTATGCTTCTCTGTTTGAATATTTGTTTTGCTTAAATATTTCTATTTATACTTTTATTCTTGTTTGTTTTTTGTTTGTGTCTCTCTCTTTCTCTCTTTCTCTCTCTCTCTCTCTTTCTCTCTCTCTCTCTCTCTCTCTCTATCTGTGTGTGTGAATTTGTGAGTTTATATTTCTGGGTTTGTGTGTATGTGTCTAAATTCATGCATTTCTATGTATGCATTTCTATGTTTGTGTCAACGTTCTGTTACTTTTAAAATATAATTTCAGTGTATTAGATGCTATTAGTATAATTTGTATTAGTAACATGAAAACACTGCTCTTATGAAAACTTTTTTATTTTGTTTGAAATAATTATAAAAATATACCAAAGTGAAAATAGTTTATGATATTGCTTTATCATAAGAATATTTAAGATAATGATAGTAAAAGTAAGAAAAATGATGATAGTGATTTATTAAAAACATCTGTTTGACCATCTGACACATAAGGAACTGCCTCCTATGTCTTGTGTCGTTTTGTTTGTGGTGTTGTTGATGTTGTGGTTTGTGGTGATCGTGGTTGTGGTGGCGGTGGTGTCGATGCAGTAGTTGGTTTTTGTTTCTGTTGTTGTTGTCTGTGTTGTTATTGATGGCGTGACTAAAGCAGTTGTCGTTTTGGTTAATCAGTGTCAGTATCAAAATTTGTATAGCGCCTCTCTTGAAAAGACCTCAGAAGCGCTTTCTATGATGCACAATGTTGAAGTAATGATGCTTTGAAGCTTTTTCGAAAAGCTGTCGATTTGTAATGGAATCATCCTTTTACTGCACAGAAAGCGAGTTCCATATTCCAGCCGCCACCACAGAAAATCTTCGTCGTCCAAAATTTGAGGAACGGATTGACAGAATGACAAAATCCCCACAGTCTGACGGCCTAACTTGACTACGTCCATGTATCTTTGAAACCGGCATCAGCTGCTCACTCAAATAGACCGGTGCATCACTAGTCAGTCTCTGACCACGAGAGTGATTTTAAACCTAATCCTTAGGGATATCTCAACCAATGAAGCTCATCACGCATGTAAATCTTGCTGCCGTGTTTACCTATTGATTGAACACAGTCCTGTGGAAATAAATTGGCTCCATACTTTATCGAGTTGGAAAAGTCAGCTCTACTACAGACAAAACTGGGAACAAGTGTTTTTGCTGACTCCAGAGTATGAAAACGTCTGATAGTCCTAATTCTATGAATTTGATAGAAACGTTTCCAACAGATATTTTTTACTGATCTTTCAATGACAGATGTGAATCCAATACCACACCAATATCGTTCACCAGTGATATGAAATGGTTCAGTAAACTCAATCTTTGCGGAGTACCTAGCCAGATGTGTTGTTTGTTTTGCCAATGTTGCATTCTGTTTCTTACTATGACATTGTAAAATTCATCCATTACAACGTTGGTGGTGCTATGTTGATAATAACATAGATGAAACCAAGTCAGGTTATCTTTTGCTATTTAGATACACGACAACGGTGCTATTTTTCATCTTAGTTTAGTTCATTTTATTATGTTATTATGAGAAAGAAGAGAGAAAGAGAGAGAGAGAGAGAGAGAGACTAAAAATTTATCCACATTAATTTATATTTTTTCCAGCGGCTCTTTCAGAAAGCATACGTCCTACAATGATGTTGGCGTGTACAGAAGATATGTTTCAGAACCTGTATGTGTCTTAGTTTTTTTATTTTCTCGTTAATTTTTTTTTATTATTTTTGTATTACTTATTATTTATTTAAATTTATTTAAACTCATTGGGTTGGTATCTTTTTATAACGTATTTAAAAATTTAGCCATTTCTGCTTTTATTATTATTCCGTATTACAATTTTTGTTGTCGTTATTATTATTATTATTTTATTATTATTATAATTATAATTATTACTATTATTATTATTATTATGACAAAGGGTTGTCCTCAGGTTCCAGTTAGACACTTACAAAAGATCAACAACAATAAACGAAGAAGTTCATGTGATGATAAGGAAAATCAGGTCTGCCTGTTGCATGTCGAATGTTTGTTTCACTCTCTCTCTCTCCCCCTTCCTCTCTCTCTCTCTCTTTCTCTGTTCTACCTTTTTTTTTACAACATGTTTATTGAATTTATTGTTGTTACAACTTTGTTATATTTTTTTTATATATTATTGTCATTAATTTTGCATTATTTTATTCCATTTGCTAATTTATTAACTCAGCCAATTAGTTCATCATTTTATCTCCATTACACAAACAACAACTACTACAGCGTATTTTTGCAAGCATGGACAACAACTACCATGCACCACCAGCCTCTTACTCGTCATCTTCATCTTCGCCATCTGGGATCCTGTTAAACAGCAACAAGTGGAATCCTTTCCATGGCATCCTGAGTAAGAGTGCCACTGGTTTTGATGATGCCTGTGGTAATGTTATACCTGGCCTGGTATCAAATACGACAGCATCAGCAACAACAGTCTGTGATGCGTCAGGAGAGGCAGAATTCAAATCGCCACTTTCTACTCCTAGACCAAAACGCGTTGCCTTCCATAACGAAACGAATTTGAAAAGTTTACATGATAATCATCGTCAGCATCATCATCATCAGCAGCAGCAGCAACAACAACCATACTATTATCATAACCAACTTCATTTTCAGAATAATTATTTTAGAAGGCAGCTTTCAAAGCTTCAGTTACATGGATGTGTAAGTACCATTATTGTTGTTCATTCTTTTTTCCTTGTTGTTAATTAGGTTTGCTAGGATTTGTCTTGATCCTGTTAGAACAGCGGTCTTAGTAACAAATGTTAGTCGCTGACCTAGTAGTAGTGGTCGTAAGTTAGCAGTAAGATTAGTAACAACTTCTTCTTTAATATATAATTTATTGGCTACATCGAAATACACACAAAAGAAACAGCCAGACTTGAGCACTGCCTCACAAACGTCGCCATCCAGCCGCCACAACAGCAGCAATAACAACAACAACAATAGCTTTGGCTACTGGAACAGGTATGGCAGCAGTTGCAGCAGATACCAAGCCATCAGACGTCAGGTTTCAGTTGATGACGGTTTCATTGATCAGCTGGACATCAACTTCCAGGCCAATGGCAATGATAAAAACATTATCAACGATAGCAGCAACATCGTCAATAATAGCCACACTCCGTCAACGATGATGAAGTTAGACCTCCCTAAAAACTTCGAACGATTGCTCTTCTCACCTGTCATAGAGTGCCATGAGGACACAGCAGAGGGACATGCCAGTCCAATGGTAACTTTACCCTCGTCGTCGTCTTCCTCCTCCTCCTCATCATCCATTCCGCCATCATCATCAATGTCATCGTTGCAATCATCATTTTCTACTGCAAAGCAATTTAATTTTGGAAATGAAAATATGATTGTTGGAGGGAAATTGATGGGAATGATGACGTCATCGTCGCTGTCATCGTCATCATCTTCCTCATCGTCATCTTTTACGAATTTAAAGATGAAATCTTCCTTCAGAGATCGTTTGATGAAGCATTCCTCACTGCAGGCCATGCATGCTTGCAGTGGGCAACATCAACAAAAACATCGACTGCAACAGCAACTTCAACATCAGCAACAATCATCATCACTTTCTTCCGCAACATTTTCCTCTTTGTCTTTACCACCGTCGATAGTTAAGGTTTCATCATCGTCATCATCTTTGTCGTCATCTTCATCGTTCTCATCGTTAACGTCATCACCTACCAGCTCTCTGGGTTGCAACATCAGGAGCAGCAGAACTTTTGGCAGAAGTTTGAAAAAATCATTAAGCTTGGCGTTGGACATAAATTTTAAACTCTCAACAAATAATGTTGCAAATGATTTGTTTGACAATCAACAACAATGTTGTTTCAACAACAACAACAGCGGCAATGCCTACCAGGTTGTTTTTACATCAGACAACCTCATTGGTGACAATGGAATTTGTGATGATGTCGATATGAGTGAAGACTTTGGAAAGCCCATAGTGTTTTCTCCAAGTGCAAACACTGATAACGATTTGGGATTTTCAACGTCGTCATCTTCTGCAACATCAACATCATCATTTGCAACAAATTTTCACAATCGAAAAATATTTCGGTCAGAATCAGTCGATGAACAACAGCTGAGACCAGTTTTAAACAACCACCTCAGTATTTTAAACAACATCTACAACAATGCTGTCAACAATGTTGAGAACAATCTCGATGATAACGTGGACAGCTATGTAGGCAACATTAACCGCGTTAATTTCATCAACAGGAGGAGAAAGAGTAACGCTGATGATCGTTGTTGCGCTTCTGGCTTTCCTAGTAGCAAGGTGAATTTGTTGAAAATTTGATTCGTTCATGTCTATGTCTCTGTTGTTTTGTCGAGATTTTAAAACAAGGACTATAAATAAACGTTATTAGTTCTTTTTATCATCAGCATTATTACCATTGTTTTCATCTTGCACTTTCTCATTATCGTCCTTTTCACATCATCGCGTCATCCTGCCTCAAGAAACTTCCAAAGTGTCACTCGGAGGCGGAGTTGAACATCATGACAGCCCTGAACAAAGATGAACAGCAGCAAAACTTGATTGGAGATTTTTCCAGGAAGTATCTGTTGCCCTTGGTTAGTGGGAGACATCAGGATCTCAAGAGCATCTCGATATCAACTGTTAGTTCTTCGATTGGTCGGTTCATCGATTTGTTCCCTGTTAATCAGCAGCTGGTTGATTGGCTTTCATGGATTTTATTGTACATTTTGATTGCTTCATTTGCTTGTTCAGTCATCCATTCACTCAATCATACAACCAATCCATCTAACTATGAAAACCATTCAATAAGCCATCCACCACATATTTATTCAGTCAATCAATCAAACATTTCCTCAATCCATCAATCACTCAAACATTTTATCAATAAATCAATCAATCAATTAATCAACCAGATGGCATCACTGTTGAAAGATGAGTTCAAGCATGTTATAGACAGCTACACCATTGTGGATTGTAGATACCCTTATGAATTTAATGGTGGACATATAAAGGTCAGTTCATGTTCATCTTTATTTCTCCCTCTCTCTTTCTCTTCTTCCATTTTTGTTTTCTCTCTCTCACATCTTAACTGTCTCTCTCTCTCTCTCTCTTTTCATTTTACATTTATTTAAGTAAGAAGTGATCATTACATTATTTAATGTATATAGAGGTATTCATTGATTAACTCATTTCCTACATATTAACTAATAATCTCCAGGGCGCTCTGAACGTACATTCAAATAAAGACCTGCTAGACGTATTTTTTGAAGACTTCAACTACATCAACAAAGACAACAACAACAACAAAAATAACAATATCAATGATAACAATGATAATAACTGCGTTGGTGAGGATGAATGTGATGCTTCTGCTGCTGCTGATGATGATGATATATTTATAAGGAAGAAAATTAATGATGATGATGAGGATGATGATGAGGCTATGGAAAATGGTGATGACGATTGCAAACATAAGGATACCGGCTGTGTAAACTGTCCTGTATTTCCAGGGTATAATAATAATAATAATAATAATAATAATAATAATGAGAAAAATTATAAAGGTAATAGAATGATAGATAGGGATCATAATGATGTGAGTAGCGGTAAGGAGAGTAATAAAGGTAGAAGTATCATCATCTTCCATTGCGAATTTTCTTCCGAGAGAGGGCCGAAATTGTAATCAACTTTCTTATTTGTTGTTCTTTAATTTGCTATCATTGTTATTATTATTTTTTTTGGTCAGTGTTTGGTCATTATTTTTACTGTTTGTATTGTTTTTCTTATAATATAATATAATATAATATAATGTTGTTGTGTCGTTATTCGTGTTAAAATTTGTCGTAACTATCGTTTTTCATTGCTTCTTAACGACTACAATCATCACCGCTACCTTTATTTTTATCATCATCATCATCGCTATATCATCGTATCACCAACTTCATCATCATCCTCATCAGATCGCGATTGCTGAGAAAAAAAGATAGAGAGTTGAATGAATATCCGAAGCTCAATTATCCTGAATTGTACCTGCTGGAAGGTGGATACAAGGTGAGGAAGATGAAGATAATGAAGAGGATGATGGCTGTAATGATTGAGGGATGAATTATGAAAGGGATGGTGATGAAAATGATGACGATGGTGACAATAAAGTGGTGACTATGTTTTCATGTAGGATGATAAGACTGGCAACACAGTAGAGAAAACAGCACGTATTCACATAAAAAAAACAATCGGAACAATTATAAACACAAACAATTATAAACACACATTCGCAGACCGAAACTAATAAACACACACAAATATCCTAACACACACGCACACAGGCTTTCTTCTCCACACATCCGGATCTGTGCGAACCCAAAGGGTACATCCCTATGACGGATCCCAGTCACGTGAGCGAACTCAAGTATTTCCGGAACAAATCATCGTCGTCATCACTGTCTTCTTCTTCTTCATTGTCTTCGTTCTCATCATCATCTTCATCATCTTCCTCTTCTTCATTTGGACACTGTAAATCATTTGGTAAGTTTTCTTAATGATGAAAGAAAAAGACAGATAGAGAGAGGGAGAGGAGAGAGAGAGAGAGAGAGAGAGAGAGAGAGAGAGAGAGGGAGGGAGATTCAATATAGATTATTCAATGCCAAATAGTTGTTCTAGTAGCACCAAGTAGCATAATATAATTATTTTAGAAATCGTTCGAACAATGATTAAAAATTTTTTTCATTTGTGAAAACTGGGGTAAAGGAGAATAGTTTTTAATAATTACTGCGTTAGTAATAAATAGAACGGTGATGGCAGAATTAGTAACTGCTACTAGGTTGTATCGTAAGTAATGGTAATACTGGTCTTAGTAGTAACTGATACTCCTTAGGTAGTAACTGATACTGATTATATTGATACTAGCTTATACAAGTTTATTATTAATGGCAAATTGTTTAAGATATGCAGGCGGGAATTTGTGAAATGTTTATTTATTCGTTTTTAATATTGTTTTAAAGTTGTTATCCCTCTCTCTTATAAGTATTTTGCTATAGTTGTTGTTATTATTTCGTTATTATTAAATAATTAATAGTAATAATTATTGTTATTATTGTTGTTATTGCTTATTTTGTTTATTTAGATAGACAGTTGTATAATTTATATTTATTGTTTTTGTTATCGTTTTTTTGTGGGTTTAGTATTATATATACATGCATATGATATATATCTATATATGATATATATCTATGTATGATATGTATCTAATATATTGATGTTATAGTGTTTTATAATGTAAATATTTCATTATTGTATTCATATATTTATTTAATGTTAATTAATGTCCGCGCGTGTATATGTTGTTGATGTTATGTGTTGTTACTTTTATTTTTCATTATCTGCTTTGTTTTAAGTGTATTGCGTGTTCACATAACAGACTCACTTACGTACACTCATTCATACAAACACACACACACACACACACACACACACACACACACACACACACACACACACACACACACACACACACTAAGCAAATCGATTAGAGGCAAAGTTTTTCAAAGAAATTCGCCTCTTTGTACATGTCGACGAATATTCTTCGTCTGCTTATTTTACAAACCCCCCGTTGTTTCCTGTCACTATTATTTGTCGAAAGTCCTGTTGAGGCGATGGCTGTCGCTTTTTAATCGCTCCACCAACTTCTAACTTCATACTTTTCTCCCATTTCATTTTCTTTGCTTTTTCCAACTCCTGTAAGCAGTTCAATCCAATGTCTTTTTAGCCGCAGAACTGTTACCTCTATGTTACATGCGTACTATGTACATGATTCGAGTGAAGATTGTAAGGAGATAAATGCGTTATTTATTTATTTATTGATTTTTCGTTCAACGTTTTTGAGGTTGGTTGAATTCGTTCTCCTGTTTTTATGATTCGCTCAACGCTTACGCTTTTTCATTGATTCATTTATTTGTTCATAACATGATTTTATCTTCGTGTTTATTTGTGCTTCTATTATTATAGCTATCTTTCTCTTTATTTAACATTGGTGCCGCATTTCTTTGTTTCATTCATCTAATTATAAATAAATCCATCCGTCCATCCATCATTTCTTCCATTTATCTTTTATTTTATTCATCTCTTCAATTATCGATTCATTTGCTCATGATTTTATCCATCCATTTATCTTCATCGTCACATCGTTATCACTGTTCTCATTATACATCTCGTTACTGATTGGGCAGCTTACATTTATCTTTATGTTTGTGCGTATGTGTGTGTGTGCGTGTGGGTATGTTCTTTTTTGTGTTTTGAAAAATTTATAGATGTTTTCAATGTTTTTACGCCACGTTCTGATTTTGTTTTTTCCTTGCTTGCGGGATTTTTAATTGATAAAATTAATTTAATCAACTTTTTTTTTCATTCTTTCATTCATTCATTCATTCATTCATTCATTCATTTATTCATTCATTCATTCATTTATTTTATTCATTCATTCTTTCTTTCGATTTATTCATGATTTGTTCATTAATATTTTTCAATTTTTCATTCAATGTATTTAATAAATTAGTTAATTAATTCATCCATTCATTCTTTAAATTTGTTGCAAAATCATTTGATTATTTTTTCTGATAAGCTCGGTTCTATCTATCTATCTATCTATCTATCTATCTATCTATCTATCTATCTATCTATCTATCTATCTATCTATCTATCTATCTATCTATCTATCTATCTATCTATCTATCTATCTATCTATCTATCTATCTATCTATCTATCTATCTATCTATCTATCTATCTATCTATCTATCTATCTATCTATCTATCTATCTATCTATCTATCTATCTATCTATCTATCTATCTATCTATCTATCTATCTATCCATCTATCCATCTATCCATCTATCCATCCATCCATCTATCCATCTATCCATCTATCTATTCATCCATCTATCCATCCATCCATCCATCCATCCATCCATCTATCTATCTATTCTTCCTTCCTCCTATCTATCTTTTTCATTCGTTCATCCGTTATCCATTCGTTCATATATCCATTTATTAACCAACCAACCAACCAATCAATCCATCCATCCATATGTTCAACCATCCAGCCATCTATCCATCCATCCAAGTTTTTTCATTTTCGGTGTTATTTCATCCTTTCTCATTTGAAATTTGACTAACGATAATGACGATGGGAATTTGGATGATGAGGATGAAGATGAGATGGAGCTAAATGATATAGATAAGGAGTTTAATAATGGCAAATATTCATTGATTGTCCTTTATAATTTATTAACTATGGTTCAAAGCAAAATCGTTTTAATAGTTTTTTTTCACTGTTCAATGTAAAGTTTTCTACTAACAACTTACTTTATATATTAATTGTTAGTTAAGAACAGTCTTTATATTTTTTTTATTTCATTATTTTGTTATATAATTCATTATTTTATTTAGTTTAATTTAATTTTTTTTCCAATTTAAAAAGTTCGCTTATAAGTTATTTAAATTAGTTTGAGTGCATGTACTAAAGTGTGTGTGTTCTGTTTAGACATGGACGTTTCGAAAATTCACCGCTGGTGTATTGAGTTCTGGATGTATGGTAAATTCCGATACATGTATCAATCGGTATATGTTTAATTTCGTTACTTAAATACTTCATTGAAAAAAATAGTATTTAGTATTTTGAAAAATTGAACTTTTGGTCTACAAAAATTTTAGATGTACAATATCAGAATACCAGTACACTTAATTTCGACACTTATAATCATCGGATCAGTAATTAATTCAGTATTGATCATTGAAACTTGTTAGTTTTCGGTGCGTCCATTTTGAAACGCTCATGTCTAGTTTCTTTCTATACATATTTGTATCTGTATGTATGCATGGATATATATATATATATATATATATACGTGTGTGTGTGTGTGTGTGTGTGTGTGTTTAAATATTTTTATACACACGCCTTGTTAAAAAAGTGCCACCTCAAATTAATAAAAAAATGAGCTATCACAAAAAACTCCCAATATGCTCGTTGTTATGAATTTTGTAAAGCACACAAAGTAGGCGTGTGCGTTTGCGCGTGTATATATATATATATATGTACGTGTGTGTGTGTGTGTGTGTGTGTGTGTGTGTGTGTGTGTGTGTGTGTGTGTGTGTGTGTGTGTGTGTGTGTGTTGACATTAATTTATTAACCGTTTATCAAGTTTTTTGAGCGGATGTAACATTAAATTTATGAAATTTATGTTTATAATATTATATGGTAGCATAACTCATTAAATTCTGCTTGTTAAGTTAACCATTGCAATATTTCTTCCTCTTATCATTATTATTTATATAGATATTTTTAATTCAAACCTTATAATTATGACGTTAGTTGGACGAATAATTGTTACTTATATTTTTATTCGATCAGTTTCTTAGTTGGTTTGTTTGAAATAAAATGTTTTGTAATAATACAAGTCGTTTGTTTGTTGGATGTTGTAGTTGCTGTTATAATCATGGATATATATATATATATATATATATATTTATAGATCCATGGTTATAATCGAAGTACCGGTGTCAAGCTGGGAAGGAACGGTGACCTGGGCTTACCTCTAATGTAATTTGTATCTTCCGTGTGTACACGCCTGTTTGTTCAAACAAACTGCTAAGCCCGGAAGAAGAAAAATAAGACGGAAAATATTGAAATATTGGAGTCGCTATGCTTTCTGGAGTTAAGTCCCTATTGTAGAAATTAAACGTGACATTCATATATATATATATATATATATATATATATTTATCTATATATATATATATATATAGATAAGTAGTTATATATATATATATATGTATGTACACCTTCGCTGATATCACTATTATCGGGGCAAATATTTGTTTTATTTGTGGCTATTCTCGGTCAAATTTTCAATTAAACAATGCTCAAAATAATTTGCGACAAAGAACTTATTTATTGAATGAATATTTTGATAACGCCAAAATAAGTTACTTGGAAAATATTGAAAGCTGGAATTATAGAATAGCTCGATCGTAAACTCCATGGTTATATTGTGTAGGTTTACTTATTTTACAATGCGCAAACGACTTAACTTTCGTAAATTAAATTGCACGAAAAGTAAACATTAATGAAATTAAACGTAAACCGGCTAGATTAGGAATTAGTGTGTTTAGTTTTTATGTGTGTGGAATTGGATATTATTTTCAAAAGAACAAGCAATGTCGACCGATAGTTTTGTTATTGAGGTCGTCAATAAACTCAAGAAACAAGGACTCTTTGATCAGTTTAGGAAAGAATGCCTGGCCGATGTCGACACGAAGGTTCATTTTTAATTAACTTAACATAAAATAAATAAAAATTATAAATAAATAAATTATTAAATTTACTCAAAAATTTGTAGTCATTATTAAATTCATAATAGATGAAAAAAAAAAAATAATAATGAAATTAATGAATGAAGAAGTTTGGTTTATTCAATGATAATTTATGATTAAAAACAAAACAAACACTGTCATTAAAGATTAAACTTTGATCTTTAATGACAGTGTTTGTTTTGTATGATTGTTAAGTTATGATATTGTGTGATTTATTTATTTTTTTATATAAGTTAGTTAGTTATTTATTTATAGTATGTTGCATTGCAAGTATGATAATAAATAATGAATAGAGAATAACTAAAAAATTTAATTACAAATTTTTTCAATGTCAAAAACAGCCAGCTTATCAGAATTTGCAGACGAGAGTGACAGGGGAGGTGAGTCGATACTTGTCGACTGTCAAATGGAAGCAGGACATTAATAAAAACCAACTGAGAGAACATTTAAGAAGACATCTTAATGAGTCAGAAAAAACTTTTTTTTTTAATTTATTTAATTTAGCAGCAATTCTTTTTGTATTTATCAGTCTTTATTTTTACAACTATCAAGTTTGAATCTCAAAATGTAATTTTTAAAAAAATTAATTTTTTTATTATAGGTTACCAATGTTAACAGCAGGCATAGAAAGAGTAGTTGATCAAGTAGTGAAACCAAAGATATTTCAGTCACTGAAGCCACAGATAGACAAGGTCGTCTGCGAACATCTCAACATTAATTATGATGCATGGCTCAAAGGACAGAGTTCTGGTTAGTTAATTTTTGTTTTTAATTCATTTTTATATATTCAATTTTTTGGTTTGATATAATTTGTATTTATCTTTTTATGGGTTATTAGTTAGATCATCGTTTTTTTCTGGTTTTTCTACTTATTCAGTTATTAAACGCTCATTTTAATTTAAACTGAAAATGTTTCAAATCAGCAAACAGCAGTAACAAAGAAAAGATGAAAAGGATGACAGACCACCCACCCACTACTGACCAGAAGCAGCAGCAGCAGCAAGAAACTCAACCAACAACAAACTCAACAACAACAACTACTACTACTACGACTACATCAGATATATTTTCGACTGCCTCCTCAGCTTCAACAACTGCAACAACGACGATGATGATGATGATGCCAATCCCGCCTCCGTCATCATTATCAATACCACCACCGCTATTACCATCATTATCAATACCGTTATCATTACCTCCACCCTTATCATTACCGCCATCATTATCAGTACCACCGCCTTCGCTGATAACATCATTATCAACACCATCCAACAAACAGCTCTTCAACAGACCCCCACCACCACCACCCCCATCTCCTCCACCACTACCCTCATCACTGGATATCCTTAATAAAAATAGGGATGTGCAAGGAAATGTTAATGATGATGAGGCGGTGAAACAAAGTGGGGACGATGATGTGAAGGCTGTTGAAAGTTTTGTCGATAACAATAACCGAATCAACAACGACAGCAATGATGATGATGACAACAACAACGATGATGATGGTTATTGTAATGTTATAGAGGAAGTGATGGTGATGGATAATGACCACGAGGAGAATGTTTATGACATCAACATCAACGGTGACATCAATCTGCCATCACATCAAGAGTTGCAATGCAAACCCTCTCCACATTTAACACCCCCTACATCATCTGTACCGCTCCCTCCACCTTCGCCATCACCCCCACCACTACCTCCTCTATCACCAAACTCAACATCGTTATCATCGCCGCCACCACCGTCATCGTCGTCGTCATCACCAGAACCGCCAACTACGACATCAATACATTACAAACGTGCATCATCAATGAACAATGATGGTAACGATGGTGATGGTATTCCCTCACTTCCGCAACTACCAGAGGAAGAGTATGCTGATGGTGGCGAGCATGATGGCCGTCGTGCCACTTACTATACCTGTGAGGATGTTGTTGAAGATATTGTTGTTGAAAGTAATGTCATGGAAGAAAATGTTGAGACAACAGTCGCGGACAACAACATTATCAGCAACAATGATGTTGCAGCCGTTGAAAATGTTGAGGAAGAGGAATATTTTGTTGGTTATGTTGAAATTTGCCATACGTCAGTGAGCAGTTTGCAAAGGAAACTTCTGGAAAGTAGCAAACAAAATGTTGAAACTGTTGATGGTAGGGAAAATAATGCCAATGCGCTTGTTGCTGGAGGTGAGGCAGCTGATGTTGATGTTGTTGGTGACCGACGAAATCTGACAACCGCTGGTGGCGTTATAAATGATGGCAGTCTACCACTGGCGTCTCCACCACCATCGAGTTCAAGTGTTGTTTTTAAAAAGGGTAGTAAAAATACAGCTGGTGATTTTCATGCTGCTGATAAATACAATGATGACCGTGATGACCACGACGACTGTGGAGGCGACGGTGGCGATGGTGGTGGCCACAGCGACTCCTACTACTACGAAAGGTCCGTCAATTATGAAAATAAAAGTGCTAAATCCTCGCCATCCAGTGATTATGGCGATCACGATGGTGCTCTTCGTGACACTAAGAATGAAAGCACCAATAACGAGAGTGACAATGACGTCAACCCAAATTACATCAGCCACAACAGCAACGACGACAACAACAGCAACGACAACGGTGATGATAACGCCGATGATAATAGAGAGGCTGATAATGGTGATAACGATTCACCTTACAGTGATATCTCAGAAGCAAGCTCGGATTCTGTCGTCCTGGTTGGAGTTGAACCAGCACTTAAGAAGAAACTGTCTTGCTATGGAAGACCAACTAGCAGTAGAAATAATGATAACATGCCATCATCATCGAGAAAGAAAAGGAGATTGCACAGGAATGATGATGATGATGATGATGATGATGATGACGGTCATGGATATGATGAAAGCGGTGATAGCGATGATGATGATGGTGAAGTGATGAAGAGAAGGATAAAGAGGAAGAAGAAGAAAAGAAAGAAGCAGAAGAAGAGATCGTCAAGATATCGATCCAGCGACGATGATGATGATGATGATGACAACAATGATGATTATGATTATAATAGTGATGATGATTGTAGTAGAAACAGCAGTTCTAGACACAAAAAATCAAAACATAGGTTGGTGTGTTTGTTTTAGGATCACCAATTCGGCCGTCACATTTTAAGGGTGACAGGTTGGAATGAAAATTGAAATGTCTGGAATTTTGTGAAAATTAGAAAAATAAGTTGAGAAAACGAGTCACAGCTTTCATTTCAATTAATTATGTCTATGGTTAAAAATAAATAAATAAAATATTTATAAATTTTTATAATTTCGTAATTATAAATAATAGTAAGCTTTCTCAATTCATTTTTATCAAATTAAAAATCGTGTATTAAGTTTTTCTGTTTTTTGATACATCGGTCAAATATTTGTTATTGTTATTATTTCTGATCAACTTAAAATTGGATTCGACCAAAAATGAATTTTTTTTATTGTATTAACAAATAGTCTATTTTTTGTTGGTTTATTGTGCCCCAATCAAACCAAAGATACTTTCCATAGAGCCGCTATTATTTTAAAAAATTTTAATGAAAATTTTTTTGTAGAATTATTTACTTTTTCAAAATATTTAACCCATTTGAAACAACTGATGAACGTTCAATTTTTTCACAAATCGAAAAAATACTGCACCCACTATGACGAAAAATTTGAGGTGATCTGTAGCCATAATATATTTGTTTGTTTGTTTGTGTGCATGCGAAGACGATGATAATAAGAGAAATGATATAACTGAAAATGATTTCTCATCCGAACACAGACGCCACCCGTCAACAGTAGCAGCAGGGACGACGGCGTCATTTTCATTCTTCACAACAACTACTTCAAGCAAATCGTTGAAAAATTCGAGAAGTTATATCGCAGCAGGGGACGATGACGATGATGGTAGTCACGATTTTGTCGGCGGTGGTGGCAGCTATGGTGGTAAAGCTAGTCAGGACAGGTTTGATGATGGCGATGATGCTGCTGGTGGTGTCGGGAAGAAAAAATCAAAAAAGAGAGTTGAAGATGTAGGTGAAGCTCTGGTGATTACTTTAATTATTACAGCATTGTGAATTATGAATTGTTTAAAATACATTTACTTGCAAGAACATACAAATATATGCATACATAAACACACGACTTTTTTAAACACTTGCTCATGCATAGTCCTTTGCAAACGTCGGCGAAAATTTTTAACAAATAATTATTAATTATTAACTCAGATAAACTTTGGCGAAGCAGCTAGACAGGCAGCTGTCTTACGTCACGTATCCAAGCAGCCACCAACAGCTGTTCCACACCCAGCTGTTCTACCGCTACCAGCTGTTGCTGCTGCTAATAGCTCGGGTGTCTGGCCGCAACACTTCTCTGGACCAATGAGGTGAAGATGATGGTGGTAATTGACTAGAATATGAGAAGAATGTCGTAACGATGGTGAATATTATGATGATCGATAATTAAGGTAAATCATGTGATGATGATAGTAAGAGTGGTGATGGAAATAAAATAGTGATGTTATAATGATGATGCCTGAAAAAAATAGTGATGCTAATGAAAGTACGTTGTTGGTTCTGTCAGGCCAAGGACCTCCCTACCACCACCGCACTTCATGCATGGCTCCCACTTCCTTCCTCGTCACGTGACTCCTGAATTCCATGTTCCACCATTGTTATCTTCTTCCTCCTCCGCTACTAACCTTTACCCTCTCCATTATAATGCGCCTGGGAGTAGCCACAGAGGGGGCGGCATGGCCCACGATGAAATGACGTCATCGTCACCGAACATCGGTTATGATAGCGATTCAAGGTTTCTATTGCTAGTTTTATCATTGAACGTGATTTTGAAATAATTTTTGAAACTTGTGTTGTTGAGCGGATTTTGTTGGAACGTGGTGATACAATAAAACGGATTGAAAGATTATTTATCACTCGTCGATTTACTTTTATTTATTCTTCACTGCTCTTTTTGCTCTTGTGAATTTCGATAATTATCAATGACGATATAATTAATGTTCACCTTTGAGGCATTCACTGGACGATGGCGACAGGCACTACAAAAGATCAAAGAAGTCTCTTCCCTATAAATGACCCAGTGACAGAAAGAGTGGCAGCGGTGATGATGATGTAAATAATAATAATAATAGTATCGTTTATTCATGATTGCATTGTTTGTTAATAACTGTTTCTAAGAACTACTCTGCTTCTAGTTTTTAAATGCTTGTATTAAATTTTATTTGAAATTTAAAACGTTTAATTACAATAAAATTTATTCTTTTAATTTTGTCAAATAACTGATTCACGATTTCTTTTCTCTAATTATATAACTATAAGAAATGTTTCACAGAAATTCGCATGCTGAAATTTGATGGTGTTTGGTAGAAATATGACATATTTCTGAATTTTCGTTTGCGTTCTATGCGCGGTTCAGAAGTTTCATCTTGTAATCCATAAATGGTAAATTTCTTGTTTTATGTACCCAATTCAACTGAAAATGTAACAAAAATTCGAATTAAATTTTACTAAAAAAATAAGCGTATTTGTAAGCGTTCCACAAGCGACAGATTTAGTTTTCTGGAAACCGTACCTGCACCAACTGCTGTCAATCAACTCCATCTCAGGTTATGACATTAGATTGATGGAAATTGTCTGTAACAATTGAATGTTCTCTCGTTTGTATTTAAAGAGTTTTAAAACAATAGAAACACTTCATTATTAATAGTTATTATTTAACGTTATCGTAGGTAATAATAAACCTGCC